GATACATTATTCTGAAGCGATCTTTCTAATAAAATTTTTTCGAAATGTTTATAATAACCGCACGGGAACTGTTTAACGACGACCAATAACGGACGACTTTGATTCACCGAAAAAGTTTATTTCTCTTCCCGTGACGAATCTATTGGTGAGTACGCGTGGGAAACAAGTTATCATCGGCGTAGCGGACCGGCCGAGGGTGGCACCGATTACCTGAGTCTGATTTGCGATCTGCTGATTGGACGAAAAACAGTTCCTTTAAACAGTTCCCGTGCGGTTATTATAAACATTTCGAAAAAATTTTATTAGAAAGATCGCTTCAGAATAATGTATCCTACAACCGTATAATGCTCTGATGCGGAAGATACGGGACACGCTGTATAAAAAAATTGTGTTATTTTAGCAAGTACTACATCCTAGTAAAGTTTCCCGATTAAAAACTGAAACACCCTGTATATACACCTCCAGATCTTCTATCTTCATTCCCCCCTTTGTCTCATCGCCCTCATCACCTCCCTCATCCATCTTTTGCCCTCGCCCCCCTTTCCCAAAATTTGCTTCCTGTCCATTGCCTCCTCCCTTAGCTTATTACACCCTCTCAGCACACTCTCTTACCACAGTAGAATCTGGCCACCAATCTCTTCCCTTCATCATCCCCCTCCATCAACAAATATTTTGGCAGTTCTTTTGTCACTATCTCCCCATACTTTTCATTGTATCTCCCTTCTCGTATCTGTGACCATTTTTCCTGCCTCTGTATTTCCCCGTCCCTATCTCTCAGTTGTCTCCACATTTCACCTCTTTCCGCTCTTCTGTTTTCGATCCCATTTAGTGAGTATCCCACTCTTCTATAATATTCTTCCCTGTCTCTTTGCCCATAGATCAGCCTCCTCTCTTTAATCTCTCTCCAGCACTCTCCCAGGATCCTGCAATGTGATCTTGCTTCTATCATTTCCTCATACTTTACTGCTCTTCTCCCCGCCTCCATCCTCACTACACACCCTGGTGTCTCCCTTGCCAACGCTAGTACCCATCTCCAATATCGTGTTTGTATATCCTCCAGCAAACCTTGTTCTCTTCATCCCCATACTACTGCGCCTTACGTCATTGTGCTCCCCATCCCCAAACTTGTCCCATCGCCCTCACGTGCGTTAAACCATATCCCAGGTACGTGCCACCTCCATTCCTCCTTCTTTCTTCTTCCCCCTTTGCAGAATTTCATTACATTTGTTTTCTCGACGTTTCCCTCCAACCCGTTCGCTTTAAAATATCTTTCCAGGGATCTCATCATCTCCTTCATCTCCACCGCCTCTTTAGTCACGATCACCAAATCGTCCGCCTACGCCAAAGCGTGCACCTTTGTTCCTCTTATCACCACCCCACCCATTTGCCCCTTCGCAAGTCTCTTTTCCAAGTCCGCCGTATATATTGCAAATAGTGTGGGACTCAAAGAGACTCAATCCCTTTGTCGTCCAGAATACCTTACTTAACTCTTCCCCCACTTTAACTTTGGCCATCGTCTCCCTGTACAGGGTGGTTCAAATTCGATGTCCGAATAGACTATCTCAGAAACTATAAGAGCTAGAAAAAAAGTAGCTTACATGTCATGATCTCGTTTTTGTCTGATTACAAAAATATAGGGTTCGACAGGAGTGGTTGTTTCCATTTAAATAACGAAAATTATTTTTTTTAATACGTCATCAAATTCTCTGTAAAAAAGTGTCCATATAATGTCTTAGTTATAATACTCCACCTATAATAATAACCAAGATAATTGTACTTGCTGGTTTTACGATATTTTCAATTTTGGCCTCTAGGGGAAAAACAAAAGACGATAGCGCTTTGAGGTTTTCAGCATTAGCAGTTTCTCGAAAAACGAGATCATGACATGGAAGCTACTTTTTTTCTAATTCTTATAGTTTCCGAGATAGCCTATTCGGACATCGAATTTAAACCACCCTGTACATATAATCAATAATAAATAACCAATGGTTACATGTCCTCCCAGAACTTCTGTCTATCCACGTTATCGAATGCGCAGCCTTCAGGTCAATAAATAATCCATACAGCTTTCCCCATGGTGTTTCAGAATGTATATATTATCAATTCCCCCCTCTTCCCTTCCTGAATCCTCCCTGCCCATCCGGCAACAATTCTCCCCTCTCCATTTCCTCTTCCAACCTCCCCAGGCGTATCTTTGCATACATTTTGAAAGTTGTGTCCAACACGGTGATCTCTCTATAATTGCTCACCACCCTTTTATTCCTCTTTTTATACAGTGGGGCTATTATCCCCATCATCACCGTCTCCGTCGCCTCCAACCATGCCTCATTCTGGATCTCATCTGTTATCCTTCTCCTCCTTGCACCCCTCGCTCTCCTTCGCCCAGTCTTCTCTCTTCCACCTCTCCCAATAATCCCATGAAATAGATTCTCCATTCAGTCATTTGTATATCTCTGCTGACTTCCTCTCTTCCCTTCCTCATCTTCTTTAAGTATCTCCATACCTTCAGCTCCGTCTTCTTTTTCTTGCATTCTTCTTTGTATTTTCTCCTGGCCTCTATACAGCGTGTCCATAAAATAACAGATATAGGCGATAAAATCATTATAAACGGTTTATGGAAAAATCCTTAAAACGGGTCTAAAGATTTAAATTTTTTGCAATTTTTTGGTGTGGATTTCAATTCTTTTCCGAAATTTTTAAACAAGTTATCACGTCATCGATATTTTTTTCAAATGGCAATCCTCCAATTTTTTTACGGAATATGAAAGAGGATCTTTTTCTGAATCTAGTACACTCAATATTAATATTGGTTACATAAGAGAATTTTCGAGAAAAATTACTTTAAAGATTAACTTCATCAAATTTGCTTGATATGATAAAAATAGCAGTAACCATAAGTCACTATGGAAACCATTTGTTTTAAACAATTCCATGAGTGTCAAAAACTGGTTTAGGAAAGCTTATTGAACTGTGGTGGTGTGCCATCTTGTTGGAATAACTGCCATTGGAGTTCAGGTGGGATAACATTATGATATCGTTTTGAAAAAATCTAAATATCTATCTCCCTTCAGTTAAGGTTTCCTCAAAAAGTAAGAAGTCAGGACAGAATCCCGTAGTATTTCGCTCCACACATTGATCTTTTGCGGATATTGGGTGTGCGATTTTCTTGGTCAATGTCGATTTTGAATAGCCCAATACCGACAATTTTGTCTATTTACTTCTCCACTCAATGTCAATGTTCTCTTGTCAGAAAAAATATGTTTTTGACAAAGTCTTCGTCATCGTTGCAAAATTATTGTTGGAAAAACTACGACTCATTGCTCGTGAATAAGGTTTACTTTATAGGAATAATATATTTTATGAACCGTTGGTTTACTAATGTCCAAATGCGACCCAATACCCCTGACAGTAACAACTGGGTTTCCTTGCCCAGTCAAAACCTCCCCTGAAACATTTGGTCGGGCAGACTTCCAGAAATCTCGAAGATGTCCATGCTTTTTCAATTTAGTCACAGCTAGGCTTGCCATACTAATGAGCTACGCAGTTTTCGATCAGGAAATGTTCAGGAAGTCAACTACTTACTAAATCATTTTTTGACACTTAGAAAATTGTTTAAACTAATTGGTTACCATAGTTACTCATGGCTACTGCAATTTTTATCATGTCAACAAATTTGATGTACGTAAACTTTAAAGCAATCTTTCTCGAAAATTTTCTTATGTAACCAATATTAATATTGACTGTACTAGTTTAGAAAAACATCCTTATAAAAATGGGGGATTCTCATTTGAAAAAAATATCGATGACGTCATAACTCGTTTAAAAATGGCGGAAAAGAAATTTAAATTTTTAGACCCGTTTCAGGGATTTTTCCATAACCCGTTTATAATGATTTTATCGCCTATATCCGTTACTTTATATCTATCTCTCTGCCACTGTCTCAATTTCCTTCTGGCTTATCTCTTGGCCTCTCTGCATTCCCTATCCCACCATTCGTTTCTTCCCAGTTTAGCCCACTCTCTTCTTCAAAAAGAAAACTTTTTTGTTAACATTTTTTTTGTTAAAGTTACTTAATGGAAATAGACAGGGTTGCGGCAACGGATTATTTACCAACGGAACAAGATATTCTTCGCGTGCGCGTCCCCACAACGGGAATCATCGAGTATCCATTCGATTTGGATGAGATCCGGTTTAGGTATGGGCACGCATGTCGGGGCAATGCGGGGCCAAACTCGCTCCCTCATTTCTTTCGATTATTATTTTTGCACACCACAACAAAAACACGCAACATCGGGGGCGTCATCAAAGCTGTGGCTGGCTGGCTGGCAAATCTTGTTTATTTTATACAAAGTGATTAATTAATTAATTCACTGTGTATATTTTTTTTATATATTTTTATTTTTTTATTTTATTTTCGTTCGGATAAATCCTGTACATGTTCTCCATGTGTGTCAAGTGCATGCTGCATGCTTGTGTTGGTTACAGTTATCTCTCCGACCTCGAACGGATACAGGAGGAAAGTTATCTACCGACAGAACAGGATATTTTAAGAGCTAGGGCCCCAACTACAGGCATTCTTGAGTATCCGTTCGATCTCGACTCCATTATATTTAGGTATGGGTAAAAAAATTTGCAAATAATTTCAAAAAATCTCAAAAAAAAAAGGCTAGTGTGTAATAAATAAAAAAATGTATGTACTACAACATATTAATACTTATTTAGAGCTTGGTAATTTAATTTTTTGCTTGCTTAAATTTTATTACATCAAGTAATTGTGTAAGAACACAAAAATTTATTTTTGTACAAATTGTTTGGTTGTTGTAAAAAGTAGTTTTGACTTATGTGAAGTTAGCCCCTAAAGATGCGTTCTGCAGAAAACGTTGTGAACGAAATTTTCATCAACGATTTAATGTTGGATTTAAAACTAATCTAATTATATTAAGTTATTAGTTCTTCTTTCAGCTGGGATGATCCAAAAAAAGGATGCAACACCCAATCTGGTATTTCCTATTTTAAAATATCCTGGAATCGTTCTTGGAAATCACTGAAATCAATACATTCTTTAGTAATAGTTTAAATAACTCCTTGGTTACTCCTGATATTGATCTTCTTGCTTTTTATAACAATAATAGGATGCGTCCTGCTTCGTCCATGTTTGTATTTAGTGAGGTTTCTGCTGAGTGTATCCAGTATCTGCCGGTTCATTCAGAGATCTTAGAAAAACTTATGATAGAGCAGTTAAATATTTATCTGGAAACACATTGCATTTTGCCTCTTAAGCAGTCTCCCCAAGGGGTTTGGGACACAGTTCAGTTGTGCTACTGCGCTCCTGGATTTGACTTATGATGTACTCAGGTCTCTGGACCAGGGTAAATCCACAGTATTAATTTTACTTGATTTCACTAAGGCCTTTGACACCTTGATCATATGGATGTTCATGCGGTTAAGCTTTTCGATAGCTATCTATCAAATAGGGTTCAGTCGGCTAAGCTGAATTCTGTTTTATCAGACCCTGTAAGATCTGCTCTTCTGGTGTTCCTCAAGATTCCATTTTGGGCCTCGTCCTTTTCACTATTTACACTTTCAATCTATTTTCCAAACTTGAGTATTGTTCTTATCATCTGTATGCGGATGATTACATTACATTACATTACATAGAATACATATCGGGTAGGCGGACCAACGAACCATGCACCGCGACCCTAAGGATCTATTGTACCCCGATAGATATCGTTATCAAAAATACCTTGCTCGGCGAAAGGTCATTCAGATCTTTTGAAGAGATAAACTGCGACCCAAAAATCGAGAATCTGATACGGTTAACGGCAGGGCAGTGGCATAAAACATGCTCAACCGTCTCTGCTTCCTCCGCANACTTATTAAATTAAATGAATAAAAAGGATTAAATTTGACTAAATTTACAATAAATTACTGATTATTAATTAATTATCTATAAATTATTAATAGCAGTTAACTGACTTTTCCCACACCGTATATAGTTCGTTCAAAATTTGTTGGTTTTAAAATTACAGTAATTTATCAAAAATTTAAAATGAAATTATACGTTTGTTTCTATATAAAAATAATAAGAGTGCGTGATGCGCTACAGAAACTAATATTTTTTCCCAAATAAGTTGGAAATGATATATGTGTATGTATTCTACTAAATTTATTGTCAAATTATGTTGTCAAAGTTATAGCTCATCGTCTAAGTTTCTGAGATAGCGGGACCTTTATGTTTCTCAATGGCAGTTAGGCCCCCAGCGGTCGAATTACGAACTACAAAATAATTTCCAGCTATTTCTCTTGGTCACTTTGCTTATAAGGATTTTTTCCCAAACCTTTAGGCCTTACCGTTCTAGAGATACAGTCACTCCGTACGCTTACGGGACACCCTGTATGGGCCTCCTTCTTTTTATATTAATTTGTTTCTTTGTTCGTTTGAGGACTCATTGTCAGAGATTTATGTTGCAATGGATAGAATTTTGGGTGACTTTAATATTAACCACATGGTGCCTGGTCCCTCTACTGATTGTTTACTTTCAATTCAAAATACTTTTAGTTTTAGGCAGATTGTTCACCACCCATCTCGTATTACCAATTTTTCTGAAACACTCATTGGTGTTATTATTTAATGAGGATCTGCAATTGATGAATTGGGAAGCTGTTATGTTATCCTTATTTGATTTTCATGCGCCTCTGATTACTAAGGTAATCAGAAAACGTATTTTGCCATGGATCACTTGGAATGTCAGGCAAATGATTAAACTAAGGAATGAGGCATTTGCTAAGTATAAAAGGATTAGGAGTCAGCTGTTTTCAATATTATAAGAATCTACGAAATCTCCACGGGTGCTATTCGCCGAGAAAAAAGATATTCTTTGAAAAAAATTTTATCGTCGGTGATTCTAAGTGTTTGTGCAAAAACCTTAGAAATCTTCTATTTCGTTGCCTTCTCATTTGTCAGATCATGTTATCAATACATTCTTTAGTAATAATTTAAATGACTCCTTGGTTACTCCTGATATTGATCTTCTTGCTTTTTATAACAATAATAGGATGCGTCCTGCTTCGTCCATGTTTGTATTTAGTGAGGTTTCTACTGAGTGTATCCAGTATCTGCCGATTCTTTCAAAGATCTTAGAAAGACTTATTATAGAGCAGTTAAATATTTATCTGGAAACACATTGCATTTTGCCTCTTAAGCAGTCGGGGATTTGTCGCTCCTGGATTTGACTTATGATGTACTCAGGTCTCTGGACCAGGGTAAATTCACAGTATTAATTTCACTTAGGCCTTTGACACCTTGATCATAGTCTCCTGTTATACATTTTGAAGTTTATTGGATTGGATGTTCATGCGGTTAAGCTTTTCGATAGCTATCTATCAAATAGGGTTCAGTCGGCTAAGCTGAATTCTGTGTTATCAGACCCTGTAAGATCTGCTCTTCTGGTGTTCCTCAAGATTCCATTTTGGGCCTCGTCCTTTTCACTATTTACACTTTCAATATATTTTCCAAACTTGAGTATTGTTCTTATCATCTGTATGCGGATGATACGCGATTGTATTACAGCTTTAAACTTGATGAAATTCCTTCTATGTGTGGCATTGTTACTGGCGAGTTGAAAATTTTGTGCGCGGAAATTAGCAATCATGGCTTGAGGATAAATCCTGATAAGACTCAGGGTATCATATTCTCTAAAAGAGATGGTGAGTTTGTGGATGGGTCTCGAGTTCATATTGGCATTTTGGATAAATCAATTCGTTTTTTGGATGAGGTTACAAGTTTGGGAGTCGTTATAGATAGTCAATTGAGTTTTGGTAGGCATATAGGGATTCTGCGTTTGTATTCCCGTCGTAAATTTTTTTCTGTTGACCTTAAGCGTTTAGTATGTGATAGCCTGGTTTTGTCCAGGCTATCACATAATAAACTTCAATTATTGTAGTGTTGTTTTTAGCTCTTGCTTGTCTTTTGAATCAATGCGCAAGGTACAAGTTGTACTAAACGCTTTGTTTATGGCGTTAAACGAAGTCTAATTTATGGGATTCTTCACGAAAGGAAACCTCCATATCTTATTCATAAAATAAGATTTAGGACGGACATTCATAACTTAAACTAAAATCTATGTCTCAAGATTTGGGATTCTACATCATTCTACATCATTTGTAATTTGAATACTTTTTTATTTATTTTAGTCGTAAGGATTATTTTATTTTGCCTTGTTAATTATATTTATTTCTTTTTTTGTTTGTTTCTGGTCAAATAATTTTGTATCTTGTTTTTGTTATCATTATTTCTGGCTCAATAAACAGTTTATTATCATCAGGGCCCGGAACTTTTGTAACAAAACGATACGCTTTCCCCCCTCCACTCGTTCTCAGAAAATCTTGATTAAAAGAACAGCATACTGTTCACTGGGAAATTAAAATTTCAAGTTAGAAAAAAATTGTGTTAACAAAAATTGTTCCTGAAACAATTCTAAACAAACTTTGTCAACACTTTTTTTTGATTTAATCAATAATTAAGGAGATAACCTCAAAATAATAATTTTTAAATTTTTATACATAATTACACTTAGATGCTTAATTAATAGAGATGTAAAAAATTTTTATTAAGATAATTGATTCAAAATCGAAATTGAAACAAATTTTATTTAAAACATTTTTTGATAAAAACAATAATTATTGAGATAATTAATTTTGATAGCATACTATTCAGAGGGAAATTAAAATTTCAAGTTAGCAAAAAATTTTATTAACAAACACTGTTCCTGGAGTAATTCTAAACAAATATTGTTAATAAAAATTTTTGATTTGATCAATAATTAAGAACAATCTCAAAAAAATTTATATATATATACCTATTTTTATATATTTTTTTAAGGAGAAGTTCTGCTAAGAACAAGTGGAGGGGGGAAATCGTATCGTTTTGTTACAAAAGTTCCGTGCCCTAATTATCGTTATTATTAAGGTTCTCCAAATAGGATAAACAGTTTGTGACTTATTAAGTCAAGGTCACTTGCGACCGAGGCGCTACAATTATATTAATCTAAAAGCGATTGATGCCTCGGCTGGTCTTATAACAGAGAATTTATAATTTCATATTGGCCAAGGATTAACTTTTCGAATGAGATATTGCTCATCGAAATCGGTTCTCTTGTAATAATGAATGCAAAATCCTATTTAATTGGGGGCTAACTTCGTATAGTTATTTTATCGCATCTTTTTATTTTTAATTGCAATTTGAGCTTATCACGGCTTTTGAGCTTATCATTATACAATAAAAACACAAAAACGATCACTTCAAAAACTCAAATTAATAACTTATAACAATTTTAATGAGTATTTATCAAATTTTAGAATGGTAGATGTGGGGGGCCAACGTTCAGAAAGAAGAAAATGGATCCATTGTTTCGAAAACGTCACCTCAATCATCTTTTTGGTAGCTCTAAGCGAGTACGACCAAATTCTCTTTGAATCTGAAAATGAGGTAACAATAAAAAAAAATTTGTATTACATAAAATAAAATTTGTGGTAATTTAGAATCGTATGGAAGAATCAAAGGCTCTTTTTAAGACCATCATCACCTATCCGTGGTTCACGCAATCATCGGTCATCCTATTTTTAAACAAGAAAGATCTGCTCGAAGAAAAAATAATGTATTCCCATTTAGTAGATTATTTTCCGGAGTACGACGGTAAGTTGATGTTGATTATTTAGTTGGTCAGGCTTTTATTGGGTACGTTTAAAGTTGTTATTATTGTTGATTTGCGTCAAGGTCCTAGTTTAGACCACGTCGCCGCGAGAGAGTACATTTTAAAATTGTACTTGCGCGAAAATCCTGATCCAGAACGAAGCTGTTATTCGCATTTTACTACTGCAACAGGTCAAAAATAAATAAAATAAAAGCTTTACAAGCAAATTAAATTTAGAATAAGCTAAAAATTATATGAATATAATTATATTAATGCTAAGTAAAAAGCTTATTGGAATTTTATTTAGGTGCCCAGCGAGACGCAATTACAGCTAGAGAATTCATATTGAGGATGTTTGTAGACCTAAATCCGGACAGTGAAAAAATTATTTACTCCCACTTTACGTGCGCTACAGGTATTTTTTATTTTTTAAATTACTCTTGCTTCTTTCTTGATGTCGTGGATTTTTGTTGGTTTCTTATTTTATTCGCATGTGCTTTTTTATGAATGCTTTTTATTTGGAGATCCCAAGGTATAACAAATAATTACTTATTCAATTTTTATTTGTTGAATTAATCTTTTATTTCATGCTTACTTCTTCGATTAACGGACGTGATTTTCTAACATTTATAGATACTGAAAATATTAAGTTAGTGTTTTGTGCTGTGAAAGATACAATTATGCAAACTGCTTTGAAAGAGTTTAATTTAGCTTAAAGTGATGAAATTAATAATAAAAATGATGTGGTTCAACTTTGTTTTTGTTATGGTTTTTGCATGATCATGCAGCAATATAATATTGTTTTCTTATTAATGCATGTTTTAAATAAAATTATTACGTTTGTGTACTAAAGTGTGTTTTTGGAAGTGTTTGTGCCTATTTTTATTTAATTATATATCAAATTTTAAAGGGCCATAACAAGTTTTAAGTTGGTATAAAAATTTTTTATAAATTAAATTAATCTCGATATAACTTGAAAAATCAATTCTCGTCAGTTTAAAGTTGAACTTTAAAGAAAGTTTAAACTTTGTTGTATTCACTAAACATTTTTACGTAACATATGTGAATTTGAAAATTTTTTACTCCGCAGTTTTCCTAAAATCGCGAGTTAAATGAAAAAAGTACCCTATTTTTGACTGTTCCGGCAACTTTGTCCACTTTGCGATTTTTTTTTTCAAAAACTATCTGACGAAAAAAATTCAAATTTGAACAGGTGGTACCCTGATGTGTTCTTAATAATGTGCATATTTAATTTTTTGGATATTCCATATAGTTTCGCAGAAAATCGCGGTTTAGTAAGATACGGTATAGTCGAAAACGGCTGGTTGGGTTTTAATGCGGTTTTAATCAAAATAATGTCTTTAAAATGAAAAAATGGTGCTGGTGTGTGTTGAAAAAATGGTGCAAGTCTAGTCTGAAGAGATTCTGGTAGACCTTACATCAGAACGTAAGAGACGCTCAAAACGCGTCATATAATAATTATACAGGGTGTATCTGAATGACTGCAACAAACTTCAAGGGTGATTCTTTAGTGTATTTTAAGGATAAAAAAAATTTTTGCAAAAATGTAAAGGGACTGGTTGCGTTTAGTAGTTTAGAAGGGTAGGTTGAAAGTACAAATAGGGTCAAAACGTGCCCTATTATGAATTAAACATATATCCCAAATTTCATTTTTGTAGTGTTTATGGTTTTTGAGAAAAAAAAATTAAACCAAAATTTTCCGCCATTTTTGGAGGGGTATATTAAAGTACCCTTAAAATTCACTAAAGAATCACCCTTTGAAGTTTGTTGGAGTCATTCAGATACAGCCTGTATATACAGGATGTCCCACGACGAACTGCGTCGATCGATATAGGAGAAACTATGAGTAGTATCTTTCTGAAAATTTGTAGGCGCACTTATGTCGATATGCCCAACTCACCTAAAATATTTTCAAGATTGTCGCACTTCCGGTTATACCGGAAGTAGACAACAACTTCGTTATTTTAAATGGAACCACCTATATATTATTACATATTTAGATTCTACGTCCGATTTTAATTAACTTTTACTTAAACATCTTATATAAAATTCTTACCCGTTTCTGAAATATTTACAAATTTATGTAAAAAAATTACCTATGCAGGCTTGTATGTTATGTGTATTTCTGCTAACACTGTTAAGTATTTGTTATATCTGATGAAAGGAATTTGAAGAAGAGACTATAGCTTAACTTTTGGTAGCTCATATGTTGTCCTACTACATACAGGGTGTTCAAAAAAAGCTGCCAAATATTTATATAAGAAAAAGCGAAAAACTCAAAAAAATTAAATGGAAACCATATATTTTTTTAATTGTATCTGAATCTACATTAAAAATAAAGGTAACTTTATGTAAGGTTCCCTATATCTAACTATCGCCGTTTCTTTGTAATTTTCGTTTTAAATAGTTTAAGATTATTCAAAACAATTTTGTGTCAAAGACGGCCATGACTACCGAGAAACAAATGAAGGTAACACAAATGTCATTATATCATTTATAAAATTCACTATGCCCGCACGTTTAAATTATACTAATGAAGATTATCTAAATCTATTTATTATCTATGGAGAATGTAACAAAGTTTTAACAAGAACATGCGATACATTTGCTGCTCGATATCCGCGAAAACGGAAACCATCCCCGAATACCTTNGATTTGTTAAAAAAGTTTTCTTATAGAAAGCTCCGATTCCCAAGTGCTACCTTAATGACTTAAAAGCGCAACAAATTTTCATATTTTCGTATATATCTCGATATTGATGTATCTAAGAGCAAAAGTGTAAAAGAGCAATATTGTTAATAATAAAATTTGCAACAATTTTTGTTATAAAAGATTTCTTGTAGCAAGCTCCGATTCCCAAGTGCTACCTTAATGACTTAAAAGAGCAACAAATTTTCATATTTTCGTATATATCCCGACATTGATGCATCTAAGAGCAAAAGTGTAAAAGAGCAATATTGTTAACAATAAAATTTGCAACAATTTTTGTTATAAAAGTTTTCTTATAGAAAGCTCCGATTCCCAAGTGCTACCTTTAATGACTTGAAAGAGTAATAAATTGTCATATTTTCGTATATATCTCGATATTGACGCATCTAAGAGCAAAAGTGTAAAAGAGCAATATTGTTAACAATAAAATTTGCAACAATTTTTGTTAAAAAAGTTTTCTTGTAGAAAGCTCCGATTCCCAAGTGCTACCTTAATGACTTAAAAGCGCAACAAATTTTCATATTTTCGTATATATCTCGATATTGATGTATCTAAGAGCAAAAGTGTAAGAGAGCAATATTGTTAAGAATAAAATTTTTGTTATCAAAGTTTTTTTATAACAAGCTCCAATTCCCAAATGTTACCTATAATAACTTAATAACATAAAATTCTCGTACCATTAATCACATAAATATCATAATTTCATTTGCATCATATTGAGTGTTGCAAAACCTTAATCAACGCTTAACTCAACGCTAATCGAGCGTTAATTTTGGTTCAATCGTTTCCTCAGTCGTTTGGACTCATTTAAAATATTTTTTTTTCACGTATTGTATAACCAAAAGCGAATAATGCGTGATAAAAATGATTTATAAGTGTATTAATATAGTGCAATGTTTTCATGACCACCAAAAATGTAGTATGTAACAATAATTTGTTTAACAAGGCTGATGTTTTCTCTTCAAGCCGAGGTTGCTCGCGGCCGAGACAGTAGTTTGATATTATATACATATCTTCCCTGCCTCACTCTATAATATTTATTTGTATAGCAATGCCGCGGTATTTCCACCCCAACCCAATCAGTAGTATTTAACAATTGAATATACATGTTTAGGTACATAAATAGCTTTATATTTTTTTACCAACTTAATTCTCATTAAAAAATTATGGCCCTCTAGAAGCTAATTTTTTAATTAAAACAAAAATTTATATATATATTTTAATACTGTTTTTGACAGATACGGAAAATATAAAATTTGTTTTCGCTGCTGTGAAAGATACAATACTGCAATCCAATTTAAGAGAGTATAACCTAGTGTAGAAGGAGGAGCAGAAAGCGCGGGGCTTAAAAAACCACGGCCAGATAAGTAAACAACAAAAAAAAAATGATCCGACGAGTGCGTCCGGGATTGGATTGTTTTAATCCAAGTTTTTTCAAACAAAAAAAAAATAAATAAATAAAAGAAAAAAACTGTATATTTGTGTAATATTACTTATATTGATTCACGTCGTTGCTGTAATAAAAAGAAAAAAACCAAGGATGAAATGTGATGTTATGTTAATTTAACTCTTGATGATGATTCTGTTTTTCGTCTCTTTCTATTAAAAAAAAAAAAAAAACTGTTTCTGTGTGCGTGCGTGGCGCTTAGCTTAGTGACTGCTGTTTTTTCAATTACAAAAAGGATAGGAGCAAAAATAAAGTGTTTGTTAAGGAGCAAAAATCTTTGGGGAGGAGGGGTTAAAATTGAATTGATTGGATTTCCGACGCCAAAGTGTTTCATTTAAGTGCGAAAACCAATTTGGACCGTATTTACCGTTTAATAATATGAATAATATTGAAATAAAAAAAAAATAGTATTGTTATTTATAACACGATTAATTTTCACCTATAAAATAGAAGTAGAGGTTCGTTTCTGTTATTTTCTAACAAAAAATTTAATAAAATTAAATCAAACAGGAAAAAATGGTTTTATATATATATATATAAGTATATAAATATATATATATATAAATTCGCCGATATTACGTGTGTGCATATACGGAAATCCGAGGCCTATCGGTAACGTTACGGGTCTGTTTTCGTTTTAATGTTTTATTATTTCTTTTAGTTTTCGTTGAGCGTTTTTTAAGTTAGTAGGTATTGTATATTTTTTGACTAAGGATATTTATTATTTTGTTTTCTATTATTATCTTTAGAGAGCTTATATTTATAAAAAAAATATAAAAAAATAACATGAATATATATTATATATACTCGTCCCGTGCCGATAGCAGCGGATAAATTTATAAAATAAAAATAGACTTTGTATAAGGGAACCCTAAACGGCAAAAAGGAATTATGTATGCATACGTAAGGTTTGTTTTAACGATCTAGGATCATAATGACTTATTTTTGATGCGAGATTTTCTAAAACAAACCTGGTACAAAAATTTCGGCACAAAAACTTTATCAAATTTATTCAATTTCGACGTGAAACGTAACCTTTTTTTTATTAAATCTAATTGATGCGAAAAGGTGATTTCTAGTCATCGGAAATGTGCCGAAATTTTGTGTATGCGTATATTTACACGTGAATATATTATATGTGAGAAGATTTAAAAATTAAAAGAAGTCGTATTCGTTTGTCGGAAAGCTTTCGTTTTTCCGTAAATAATCAATTTATTATACTAATTGCAAAAAAGTGAAAACAATTTGTAAACTATACTTATAGGAGCTTGGTTCTAAAAAAATAATAAAAATAAATCGTATGTGGGTACGTCGAGTCGAGTGCGACTGCGAAGACGTGTGCATCATGCGTGTGCGTGCATTTTTTATTTTAAATTAGTGCATTTTGCGTTCGTTTTTCTACTACACCGTTATCACCTAAAATAAAAAAAAAAAACATACATTAAAGAAATAATTAAAACGCATGGACTCTGTCGTAATATACGTTGCTGTAGCTAATATTTCGTACGGAGGAAAAAGGGGCGCGTCTTGTCTCATCGACGATTGAGGGGGAACCGTCTCCCCCTCGTTGTCGCACCTCGTCTAGGAAAAACCTTCGCTAGCGGTTAATATATATAGGTTTAAAAGTTTTGATATAATAAAGAAAAAATATGTAAAAAATAACACAAGAA